TTTTGTTTATTTTTATTTCTTTTCTTATCTGCGATCCACGCACTATATCGGTATTTGACAAACACTGTGTATTATTTGTTTTAAGTATTTTAGGATGTTATTGATATTTTCATAGTTTAAATTTTATTTACAGACAATTTCGAGATTCGCATTGGAAATTTTTAGTTTGGAATTTTGTGCGGCGTAATTTAAGGTACAGATACACGAATAATAATTTCTATGTAGTAAATATCAACAAAAATTCTCAGAACACAGTTAATAACATTTTTCAGTGTGTTTTTGCGAAGGAGCGATGTAGATCAAGTACATATAAATGTGGGAAACAGATATTAATTACAATATTCAATCATCACCGACTTTTGAACAAAATTCTTATTTGAAAGATCAATGTTCATCAACTTGTTACTTTTATTTCCTACGAATAAAACAGGAACGTGACCGAAATTACTACATAAATAAATTCATAATTTTCTTCCTTTGCAAAGCAGAATTTTTACTACCAAGAATCTTCTCAGTGAAATAAAAAAATACTCCGAGTACAAAGGCTCAATTCATCATTTATCGTAACACGATAATACTACCATTTCTACTTATCAAGACCCAGCCTACGAGAGGTTCTATTGCTAGCGCGACACTAGCGCCACGAATCTGAAGGAACAATACAAGCTACCGCCTAAAGCGCTGTAGGCATCGCGAAGAAACTGCCAGCCTCCCCGCAGCTGGCCGAAAAGACTATGCTCCGAACCATGCATTGAAAACAGCAACAATCTTCCCCAGGCCAAGTCTGCGCGAAAATTCGCGTCCACCTTGCAATCTACCGAAAAGCAGCTTCACCCTCCTCCACGGCACCATGGACAAAGAAACCGTGCTTGGGGACACGGTGGAAAGAGGGCGAAGGGTTTGCGTGTGTTCTCGCGTAGAGAAAACCGCGTGTTCCGCGTTGGTACGGCCGCGCACGGTCACCAAAAATACCCACGAAGGATACGCAATACCCGTGAGCGTGCAGCGACACGGGATCGCTGGCGCAAGTGCGCATGCGTACGCCTACGTCGAGAGGGACGCGCACGCACACGGATAAGGAAGCGCGTGAGTGAGTGCGAGCATGTCGACGCAGTCGCAAGGATCGTCAGCCGACATCTGGCCGCGCGGTCCTTCGCCCGAGGGACCGAGGGACAAAGAAGACCTTCCCCTTTTCTTAGGGGGGCCTTGGGCTGGATTATATCGTGGTCTCTCGCTCGCACGCACACCGGCGTGTATCTGGTACCGGAGTAGCCCGGAGTGGTGGCTCGACGCCGCCGGTCTGCAGGCACACGTAACGACCCCACCGGTACCGTTTCTATGGTACCGTTCGCAGGGATTAACGCCCCTCCCGCTCGCAGACCGCTCCACTTTCATCCGGGCTGCGGGGTGAGACCAGCCTTGGCCTGGGACCAGACCGTGGTATACGTGTTCTTTCCAACCGATAGACAAGTAAACGGTCGCGCCACGTAATTAATACAATAGCAACGTATCGTCGCGTTTTTCGTACCGACTGTTGTGGGGCGCTGGCATCGTTCAAGGTCGAGTCGGTACGCAAGGGTAAATGAGCTGCAATTCAAATTGATTTCCATAGCCCCGTACCTGCCGTTAGCGCAGATCGCGGGAATAGCTCAGGTAGTTCCAACGTTTTTCTGTCCTTGAACGGACGAGAGTTCCATTCGAACGTGTTTGGAGGTAGTTTATGGCGAATGGCTAGGTTACCTGCCCAGCTCGCTGCGCCCAGAAATAATTGTTTTACGATTACTATGTCGTTGATCAGTGAAGTATTGAAATTTACCAGGGATATGGTATAAACGAAATTTATTGCCACCAATTGTCATTTCACTTGTAAATACGGATTTAGACTCAGGGAAGTCCAATATAATTCTGCTTAATTACGGAGGAATTTAATGTAGGCTTTAAGACCATTGTTGAGGTTATGTAGATATGTGTGTTTATACACACACACACAATTCAATAACAGTATATCACTATAGATATTAGTCCAAAGTTATAGTTCCAAAATTGATTCAACTTTTTGAAATTCGGGAAAAATTATTTTCACTCAGGTTACATAGAAAAAATATGTAACAATATTGTGAAGAATTTTTAAATTTTTAAATTTTGGTAGCTTTACGAGGTCCGCTTCATAGTTAGGAACCAAAAGAATAATAGGCATTTCGCCTGTAAAGAAAGATTATTCTTGCTCCATAGAAGCCCTTAGCGACCATCGAACCAGTGGCTACCAAGATATGGAACCTTTTGAACAAGCAAAAGTCGCTTTGCAGCTGTTTGGGAAGCTTCGAGAAAGTTTCTGGTCGTGACTCAAAACAAACTTACTTCAATAATTATGAAAACTTATGATTTCATCCCTTTCTTAGAAACTGCTGATTCAGCTATATACTTATGCTAATTAAATACGTTATTCAATAAACTGCAATTAATCACGCAAGGTTGTACGATGCAGGTAAATATTTAATTTTCAATTATTTATAATAATTAAAAAATTGCCTATACATGTATAGAAAATTAAATATTAATTATTTAATATTTATTTAATATATTTCAAATTCTATAAACAAATGAAAATTTTACCTCATATTTCCTTCGTACGTATTCAAAATATTACGATAACTCTATCTATATTGTAATCGTTGATACATCCAAAGGAGATTGTAAATTGATCTACTACCCTTCCATGGCATTATCGACGGAGCTATTGTAAGAGTGGTAAATAGAAGTAGCAACGCAGAAGATTGTCATCACTGGTGTTATGACCTTCGTATTAGACTTCTTTAACCTTTATGTAACGTAGCTAACTCGAACATCCATAACAGATCGCGTAATTTAATAAATTTCGCGATTCTTAAAAATCTGATTGCTTGTTATAAGCCCCCGCCCCCCTCCACCGCAGATAATAAGAATTAATATAACGATTACACGTTTTTCGTTGATGTACATGTATCTAACCTATTCGTTGATATTTCGTTTCATGAAAAAATGAAATAATTTTTGCGCTTGACCTTCGAATATAAAATCTATTGCTTCGTTCAAACGAGATGCATCATTTTTAAGCGAATGACGTCCTTCAAAACAGATATCGAATATATAGTTATTATAGATATGATTAGGAATCGCGACTTATATATCTAATTATCGACGTATTAAATACTTAATCCCATACGGTTTGTAAGGAATGGATATTATCGATATTTATTGCCCCCACTCTTAGGAAAATTTAAAGCGTATCTTTTTTTCATATTCACTGTTTCACAACAGACGGTAATGTGAATCATTTCGTATATGTGCCAGTATTACATACGCCATTTAAAAAAGGTGCCCGGTTGATAAGCTAAATACGAACAGGCGGTTCATGCTCGACCGCGAGATTTCCGAGTAACCAATCAATTCGAGGAAGTACAATTCCGAGCGCGAGGGGTTAACGACCAAACTCGATCGTCGCGCTTTTTGTGTGTTTCCTGTTGCAACGATACGAAATACTCAAAGCCCGATCGGTATTATCTCATGGATAAGCCGGAATACTTGTTTACTAAGGAAAGAGAAAGACAAAAATAAAAATACGGTGAAACGTGGAAAAAGAAAAAGAAGAGAAAATATCTGCTGTTCTATATAGCAGGTAAGTGAGAGAAGAAGACAACGGCAGAAATAGTCGTCCAGTTATCGACACTACCGCGCTGCTTATCGTCCTACGGTCAATATTTCTCTCCCCGTTTTTTTCCTTTCTCTCTCCCACTTCTCTGATTCCACATCGTTAGCGTGCGTTTGCGCGCTCGTCAGTGCTGCTCTTATCCCGACTTTATCGGCCGATAACGCCAATCTTGGATAGTATCGACGATTACAGCGAAAAAAGGAAGTAGAGCGACGCCGTGGAAGCGCTTTTCGCCATCGAATTTGTCGGTGCCGAGTGAGCGGCCGTTCTCCACGCCGGAGAGCGTGCACGGTAACGACCGCAACCTCGTTACAAAGACGATTCTGCACGCGGTGTCTCAATTCTTCATCGCGATGTGTTCCTTTCGAAATGCACACGTACACACGCGTTTCTTCGTGCCATCGTGGATCAAACGAAATAACGTCGAGAAACGATTCTGTAATTGGCATGTCGATCAGCACTTGGCGACATCGACTGACGACGTCTGATGGAATTTGATAACGCGAATCCGACGTCCGTGTAACGAGAACGTTCGTTTCGAAATGGGGAAACAACGATCTTTGGCTTTTGATAATAATCGTCTGGAGAACACGTTATCGTTTTATTTGTAAAATGGATATTTCTCCTTATTTTGAAGTAAAGCAGAATAGACAGAATGAAAGTTACGACTTATACGCTAATATTCGCTAACCTCAAAATGAGGAAATTAAATATTATGTTTTAATGTTACTACTTATTTTGTTAAGATAATTTGTATTTTAACAGAATGTTATAAATTATGCAAAATGTTCAATACGTTTCACTGTCCTTAGATTTTGGTTTGAAGAGATTTTATTTATTTGGTTATTTTGATGTCTTTTAGAATATAAAGCGTGATATTAGCTTTATAAATCGTTATATAATATTAAATTGTTCCTTTCTTATGTAAAAGAGTATTTAAGATTGATACACAAATAAAGAAAAGAAAATGATGTATTTTTTCCCTATGAATTAGGAAATATGGAAGAATTGAAAAGAAAATAATATGCAATTCGTGCAATTTACTAAATTCTTTGAAGCAACTTCATTCGATTGAAGAGTATATTAAATTAATTTTATTTACTTATTCCAATTAGAACAAACTTAATTAATATTTTTCTAAAAACTAAATTTAAAAAGCCAATGTTTAATGTTTCAGAATATAATAATGACATATAATAAATAAGTGTATCTTAAATTAATGTCCAAAATCTTTGTTAAAAATTTTTAGGTAACAGTTTTTAAAAATATAAATTAGTATAAAACATATAAAAAATGGTAAAATTCTACTCACCATTTGATACTTTTTTTGATGATGTTGCTAACAATTCTTTGAGATTTCCTAGTAGGTAAAGCAAGAACGTCATTACTTTTCTTCTTTCTGGTTCTCTTCTCTCTTATATTCTTCTTCCCTTGTTGAGCATCATTGATAGATGTTTCTTCTTCTTCTACAACCAATTCTTCAGCTTTAGCAGAATTTTGAACCCATTCTGCTACATGATCTTGAACTTTTTGGTCAGTCGATAACGCAGATTCTGCTCTCAGTTCCTCTTCATTAATAAGTTCACTAACTGTTGTAGGAGGTCCTACAATTCCAACTTCCATATGTTCAACAATTTCTATAGACTGCTTTGTTTCGGAATCTCTTCTAGATGATCTAGTTTCATCTATTGTAAGAACATCTGTTTCATCATTAACAATTTCTTTCTCATCTTCTTTCTTTGACTCCCTGTCTATCTTTTCTTTACTTTCTTCACTATCACTTTTATCTTCTTGATTTAACTTCTTACATTCTGCTGCAAACGGCCGGACCTCTGATGAACTTAAATTTTCATGTACTACTTTTAATATTTCATTTAGCGTTTCCTCTTCTTCCGATACAGTATTTGTAATATCTTTAACTTTTAAAGTTGAATTATTTACTTGTTTAGAGTCTTCTTCGTCACTTTCTTCATTTAGTCTTGAATTCATAGTTATGTCTTCTTTTAAATGTTTTTCATTTTCTGATGTAATATTTTCAGTTTTACTCGAACCTTCTGAATCCAAGGGTGATTCTTGTTTTTTTATTTCAACAGTACCAGCCACCTTTAATTTTTTTTCACAAGAATCACTTGCCTCTGATTTATTTTTAATAGAAATATCCTGCTTTTCAATATCCTCTACCTTTTTCAAAGATGTGGTAGGATCGTTTAATACTTCTTTCTTATCCACTGCTTTTATTAAATCTGTATCTTCTATTTTATTCTCTGCCATTTTTTACAGTAATTTATTCTAGAGATTCATTTGCAATATTTAAACATGTATAAACATTTAAATAATAATGAATTTTTGAGGTATATCAAATTCAATGTTATCATGTTACCATATGAGCGTATATCGTCAAGTAAAACTATTTAGTTTTCCTTTCAAGCAATATATTATCCATTTGTTTGTTTCATTTTTATTCTGTAAAAAAAAGAAATATAATGCATTAAAATTACAATCAATAACTTAATTAAATAAATAACAAATAATATTTTCCAATTTATAGTTTACGAATTATTTCTACATAACCTCTCTTATCGACTGATAGTCGGTAAAAACGATTACGCAAATATGAATTTATCTAAAAATTTTAGGTTAGAATTCCGCAGTATTATACAAAACACTGTTTTATAAGCGTGCAAAGAAACTGTTCAATACCAACATATTTAGAATATCAATACTCTATAATTAACTTTGTATTTGATGTTTTTTCGTTCAATGTTTGAAATGACGTAAAAGTTTTAGATATTGTATTATGGTAATATTAAACTTTATAATTAACCACTAGTGTTTAAAGAAATTATATTCTGCGTAAATGATGTCCCAACGTTTATGTCACCATTTCTATTTGCAGAAATGAAATTTTTCGGTAACTTTATATGCAATAAATTTATAAATTACATTAAAATGATATAGCTTACACGAAGAGAACAATAGTTTATTTATATGCCGTTTTTATCTTGTTTTGGCAACAAACAGTCGTATTTAACGGAAGGTTATAACAGTTGTATTACAGATATTATGAATTACCTTCTATTATATATTTTTCACTTTATACTAATAAATACACTTTATGTTCACAATATGAAATGCACTTCAGAATAAATTCTGACATTTGTTTGACTTGAAAGTTACTTAATGACACCATCAAAGTTTAACATTATTGGCCGACACGTTCATAACCTCACTTATTTTCCTTTTGACAATTCGATTACGACAGCGAACCGAAAGAACACAGGAGTGAAAGACTAACGATAAATGGCAATCCTGAATATATGTAGCCAATATTAAAATAGAAAAAGACAAATAGAGAAGGCACATAAAATACTGCACACTAGAAGAGTATAAAGTCACAGGGACGTGTCAATCAACCCTGTTGTATCTCTATCTTTTTGTCTTTCTCTCTCTTTCAAAAAGTACTCTTATTTTTACATTATGGCTGACGGTCACGGAACAATCCGATCAAGACAATATGCAATATACTTAAAAGAAGTTTTCACGGTACCGAAGTAAAATGAGAACACGACCCCGTGGTACGTAAGGCTAGTGACCTCTACCTCTTTGAAGTGTGCGTTTATGTGTGCATGCATGTATTCCTGTGCGTCATACATTATAGTAAACCGACGTGCTTACTTTGATTTATCTAGTAGTATACGCGTGTGCAACGTTCACAATTCAAATATTTATACAATTGTATTTTTTATTCAAAAGAATATAAAATATTTGAAGTCAATCATTGTACATACTAGTGTATTTGCGTCGCATTATGTAGCATTTCATGCAGACTGCATCTTCGCGGATTTTTTTGTTCCGACCAATCAAACGCGTTTGCACGTTTCTCTGACAGCGACGCCTTTCGTGAATGATGAACACGATATTAATTGTGATGGAACTCGATTCAAGTTAATGACACAATTTTTGTACAAAAAACAACGTAAACGATTCACACACGAGAAAAATTCTACGTACTCACAGCACACTATACTCAGACTATTTTTCGTTTGTGGCCAAGCCGCGCGCGCGTGTTCGCAACAAAATGGCCGCTATACGATATAGCGCTTATTCTTGTCACTCGCATTTTTTTGCTTTATACTTTTTTCCTTTATATTTAAATATTATTGTTATTTATAAGTGTATTGTAATAGACACCTGTGACACATTTTTTAAAATTAATCATTTGATTTATATTAAAACTAAAAATAATTTAATAGACCCAATAATCAATCTCTCGATAACACGTGTGATACTGGCGCCAATTTTAAACCTGATAAGATAAGACATACTTTTAAAATGTATGAATATACAAATATTTAGTTCCCATTGATAATTTATTATGCGGTTAAACTTTCCTTCTATGTTTGTAGGAGGTCGACACAATTTTCAATAACGTAAATGATTTTAATTTTAACGTAATAACAAAATTAAACAAAGAAAGCATTGTTTCGAAAATTGAAGTATCTTAAATTTTAATTAATTTCATTCGCCAAAATTACTTTATGTACTTTATAGTAAAATATATTGTGACGCTATAAAAAATATATTCTAGATAAATTTCAGGGAAGTGAATATAATAAATAAAAAATAAACCAAATAACAGGGTATTCATTATAAAATATGTTATAAATATTTATCGATATAATATTTGCTGAAATACATATAATATCTCTAGTTACTTTTATTAAATATATGTATATTTTTTAAAAATATTTTTAAAATATTTTTTAATATCCTCTATTATTCTTCGAATTTAACTTACCTTAATATATTTGTTCGAAATGTTGTTTCTGAAAATAAATCTTTTTATTTGGAGACTGGGAATTAAAATTTGCAGTCATTTTACGTGATTTACATGTTAATACGTAAAAGATACGCTATTGGGTTCTGGCATCTATAATACTCTGATAAAAATTTCTACAATATATTTTGCATTATTACAAAATTAAATATATTACTTCTGTAAATAAATACATGAATAGTATTTTATTGTAAATGAAATAAATTTTAATTTTTGATAATTATAACGTATTGTCGTTATACTATCGATAAATATAGCAAATATATTTAACTAATGGTATCAGGATGATGTGGATAATTGTTGAAAGAATATAAAAGATTTTGCATTGGTCTCATATATTTACAGATTATTCATGATTTATAATCAATAATGTCGTACAATATATATCAACAAAATAATGTTTTAGTCGTTCTTATAAAGCTAATAAAATCTAAAGGCTAAACAGTCAAGGTTGATCTAAAAGTTGGCTCCTCTCTGCACCGCGAACTTTTTGTTCGTGGTTTCCTTCATGTTTGCTACCTAACAATAAATAAACAAACAAGTATAAATCTATACATTCCACGTGCCACGTGGTAGTGAGGGTAGTGATGATAATTAATATTGTGAACCACGATCGCAGTGAACACGATGTCGAGCAGTCTCTTTTCAGTCTCTATCTAAATGCTTCTTAATGATAATCGTCTGAATAAAAATATCCAAGATAGTTTTCCATGACAGAGAATAAGGGTACTTTTTTAGTCATGTATACTTTACATCTGAAACACTTTCCCCTTTATATCCAGGAAAAAGTCGTAATAACATGTTCAAAAAGTTTCATTATGCATTATAAAACAACATTGTTTCGTTAGTCTTTGTTTTCAATTTCTTCCTTAGAAAAAGTACCTTTGTAAAAAGTAGCTATATACCCTTCGACGTAACACGCCGTAAATAAATATTAAGGACAAAATACATTTCGTTTGAATTCAAAATATACATTCCTCGTTGTCGAAAGGTACCAATTACGTTTTTCCATTTCCTTTTCCTTCTTCCTTTTAAATTAAGGTACTCTCTATCCTACGATTTTCTCTAGAAACAGATATTAAATTATTCAAAACAAAGTAACCAAACATCGTGTATCTCTACGAATATTAAACTAATTTCCATTTTCAAAATAAGGATAAAGATATTTGTAAACCTTTTGAAAGATATTCCATAAAAATACATCATGGAGCACGTTCGAGTTAAAGAAGTTAACTGCACCATCCTCGAAGTAATCGAATCGTTTCGTCGCCTTTGTTGCGAAAGAGATATTGCACATTTTATCGGTATGTTCTTCGTAAACTCGTGAAGACTGTAACATACACGGAACGTGTTGAATTATTTAACGCGTTCGTTTGACTTTGCGTGATATAGGACGTTTTCCTCATCCATAAATCATGGAAAATATGATTCGTTAGTACAATAGAATGATATACGGCAACCTGTTAACTGCAAATCGGGAACATATAATCGGACATCGAACGCTTCATCTATTTTGAATACGCGCATTAATAGTATACAATTCCGTTTATGAAACCTCGTCCCGCGAAAACGTCGGGGTCCTCCTTTTGTTATACCAGTCGCAGCCGGGTTACTCGAGTTCTCTTTGACAGCGATCGACTTTCTCGGTGTTTGCCGCCATTTGCGATCTTTCTCGCGAGTCCATATCGACCGGGCGATACTCGATTCGCGCGCGAATTTTGATTTACGCTACCATACATCGTCAACTTTAATCGAGATATCGATATCGAATAACTTATTACGAGTTCGTATAAGGTATTATCGGTGATCCAATTCGGTCTATTTGAGAGTTAAACGTATGTAATTCTCGCTTAAGCGGATTCGCATAATTTCATTAGCGTGCATATTTTGTCAAGTTCAAGGCAAAGTGGAAATGACGTCGTGATCGATTTTTACTATAAAAACACTCGGTGAGATCACGAAGAATTACAATTCTTCGCGGAATAATGAATTAATTTCGCAAATATTCTGTACATTATATTTTCTCATACGTTACAGAACTATCGTATTTCGAAGAACGATAACGAATAGAAATAAATTCTTGAAATTCATTTACTAATGAATAATAGTGTTTCCTAACCTCATAAAATTGTATAATATAATGAGAAAACAAAATATTAGCGCGAGTGAGTTTGAAAAAATGGACTCAGTATTTTATCTGAATGCTACAAAAATAAATTATTATCGTTTAAAGAATGTTTTCGGAGGTGTAATCAGTAGATATGCACTTTAATGCATTCTAGCTCGCAAAACATCGACAAATACCGAGAAATATTTTAAGGGGTCGTTTTCCATGCATGCATAGGTACACTCAATCGTGGATATTTTATTACACGGTACATTTGCGTGCCCTATGTGTACATTATGTAAAATATTTTCTCTACCTAAAAGATCTACCTATATACGCTTTTTCCGTGCCTTGTTTTCGCCGAAATACGTTATCGTTTTCCATCTTTTCTTTTCTTTCTTCTTTTTAACTATCGAATAGCACCTGTTTCCGTCATTTCAGACGCACATAGTCACATTCCTCCATTTTTCCATGCTTTTGATACATAGTCGTGATTATAGATAATGTCTAACATTTCGATCTTCGTTCATCAGAGTCGATTTTACACGCATAAGTGAAATAAAGAGAATAAATATACCTTTCCCCAATAAAACAATCACTTTAAGACCATAACCTAGTTAATAACTACAGCCATTGCAATTTCCATAACGAGCTAATTTCGATGACAATTTTTGGCAAAAATAACAGGAAAATATTTAATACCTATTTATGATATGTTTTCTCATTCGATTTTGATGGACTGTTTTAATAAAAACAAAAATCGAGTCTACTGTTAATTCCATTACGGTCAATTTTAATTCGTTTCTATTGCCAATTTGTATCTCAAAAATTCATATATTAATCTGATTAATATATAATTCTATCTAGGACCGCCGAATGGCATTCTAGTTTCGATTTCTCGACGCATTTCTCTTCGCGGAACAATAATTTATCATTAGCTGTCCACACTGTTTACGTAGAATGGCATAATTTGCGTTGTCACTTTTTACGCTCGTGATCCCGATCAATGTTCACTTTGTCTCCTCATCCTCCGCTACAGCGATATTTAATTTATGCGCAAATAAATTATCATCAAGAATATTCCAACAAACTAGTTCACGGGACAATTTAAACCTTAACGGATGTAGGCTATAAAAAATTGATTTGACCTAATTAGTCGGTGGCTATATTAAGTTCTTCGTGACGAGCGATACGAAAGCGCTGGCTCTATCGATTTTTAAACCTAACACTTTCAAAATAATTCTTTCCTTTTTCCTTCTCCCTCTGTGAATCAGCCTTAAAGCTTTAAGTCTCCCCTTCGCGACTTAACATTCGGGTATTTATCCTTTCGTGCTCGAATTCTCTCGCAATGTCTGTCGCATACGCAATGGAGATTATCTGTGCAACAAATTAATTTCCTCGTTAATTTACATAAACGGTGGCGTAATCAGCATGTTTCACTTGTTGCATATAAACTCGACTCTAGACGCAGGATGCAAACGTTTGTTCGTATCGCATTAATGTCTTCGTTGATAGGATCGTGAGAAGGGTTCACGATCGCCGTGACGATCCATGTGAAATGAACGAATTAAAAACTATTGCACGTATTCCGCCGTTTCTACGTATCGTATGCGTTATCACTTGCTACTTCAAGAAACAGCCGTATATAGTACGAAATAATTACAACAACAAGGTCGAATAACAACAATATCGAAATCAAGAATTGAGTCGAGAGAAAACAACAAAACGAAATACAGAGATTAATTTGAATCGACTTTCAGGCTAAACGGTCGACGTGAAGCTTCGTTAACCCTCTATAACATCTCGTGACAAGGCAGTTACACAGTCATGTATCTATGCTTCGTGTCCTGTTTTATATACTCCTGAGGTACTATTATGCCTCATTATCGTGCCACTGTTATTGGCACCGAATAATTCCTTCGCAGCCGTTATTAATTTTCAATTTTTAGTTCAAGGTGAGAAATTGATATCTCTTTCTTTTTCTATACGCAAAAGAAAATTCTAGTTATAGAAGGTTAAAGACGATTGTCGCATTTAGCTACGATATAAATAATTCTGGCCGTAACAATGCGAATAATAATCCTTCATTGCGAAGAATAACCGATTAAAATGTTAAAATAACAATTCAATGTCACTAAACTGTGAACACGTTCAACGCGGTGTTAATAAATCAAGCTAATCAGACGATTAATAAGCAAAAATCACGAAGTGAACAATATTCGAATGCGGTCGTAGTATTCGAAGCGCAGAAGCGAGACTGCGCATGCGCGAAGTAATTCGAAACGAAACAACGATCTCACTGTGCTCCACAGACAACGCGTATCTTTATGTAGCTTTACCTACGGATACGTATCGTACAGTTCCATCGGAATTCTATGAAATTACATTCATTTATGATACATTGCACTTATTTCTTACACATCACGATAATCACGCGAGTTTTATTTACATTCTGCCCCCGATTCACGTTTCTATCTCTAGTAGAATCTTAACACTCTATCACTTTGAGGTTAAATACCTTTCGCTACATGCTACAACGGATCGATCTATTTCTTCTAAAGGAACGAATGAGTCACAATACCGTTTTACTATTTGACGAGAACAGAGACCGAGTGTTTCAACCCAATTCGATACCAGTTGCGAAATTCTCACCGTATTTCTTCGAAAAAATGTCTAGTAGAATTTCAACGGTTAAATTAAGCGTCCATATATCGTACTGACATATGAGATATATGGCATCGCGATAAGTTACGATAAGGGAATACTTTTTAAGGGGGAGCGCTGAAACGAATTTAAATATGTTTACGATACCGGAATTTTCGTCTCGTCACGGCGTTCGCGTGTTTCACCGCTTCGTCGGGTACTATACGCCCTTGCAAAGCAACGTGCCAAACATAACCAAGAAAACGTTAGCGAATAGTTAAACTCTAAAGTGCTCCGTGCGTTTGGCAAATCGTAAATTAACAAGGATAAACGACTATGAATAACAAAAGAATCGCCGGTGGTCGCAGATCCTATAATACCGATAATCAGCGTAGAGCGGTCGGTCAACTGGGCGATAAAAATTCGCAGCGGACGCGAAGATTCTCCAGAAAACTGATCCCTATCGACTCGCACGGCGAACGCGGAATATCGTATAATCGGAATAAGCCGGTCGATGTATATGTAACTAGAGAGACAAGCATCGCGTTTTTCTTGGCCGTGAATAAAAGGGGGTTGGCGGAGCCAAGGGTTCGGTAGAAAGAATCAGAAACTCTATGAAAACGATCACACACGTAAAAGGTCCCTACAAACGGACTCACGACAGAGTGGGAGATACAGAGAAGGACTGTCTTTCTCTACGGAGAGGAAATCACGATGAGTGCAGCAGCAGCGGCTCTCTACCGTGGCACACGGGGAATCTGTGCAACGATGATGATCAAAGCGGAGGTCTTTGACGAAGAGTATCACGGTGAATAGGTCGAAGAGGATGTTCAAAGTCTGTAGGAACACCGGTCATCCACGCGGAACGTTCTTTCCGTGTTCCCGAGTGGATTCGATGGGTCTTGCCCTTGTGGTTCATCTCGAGAATAGGAACCGCAAAAGAGGGCGCTTCGATACGCTTTTTCGCTGACGAGAAGAATCCTCTCCCTCCTCTTATTCCAGGACTACTCGACTTGTGGTCAGGGTCAAGGTCATGGTGGTCAGGACGCCAAGGTGGTCCAGTACCAGGAAGCGTGCTGGTGCTGGTGTTGGTGCTGATGCTGATGCTGGTGCTGATGCTGGTGCTGATGCTGATGCTGATGCTGATGCTGATGCTGATGTTGGTGCTGATGCTGGTGTTGATGCTGAAGCTGATGTTGAAGTTGGTGCTGAAGCTGATGTTGAAGCTGATGCTGAAGTTGATGCGGATGCTGATGCTGATGCTGAAGCTGATGCGGATGCTGATGCTGATGCTGATGCGGATGCTGATGCTGATGCTGATGCTGATGCGGATGCTGATGCTGATGCTGATGCTGATGCGGATGCGGATGCGGATGTTGATGTTGATGCTGATGCTGATGCTGATGCTGATGCGGATGCTGATGTTGCTGTTGGTGGTTGTGATGCATGTGTTGCTGTTGCTGCTGCGGATGCTGCTGCGGATGCTGCTGCTGTTGCTGCCTCTTCTGGCTGTAAACCAAGAACAGGATTGTACGATTACTTTCACAATGTCGACTGAATTCCTGCACGGGTAATCACGACGTGTAGGCGTTTGATGACCGTGATTTTAGCCCTGACTATGCTATTTACCGAGCTATGCGACGATCTATGAGAAAACATCGTTTTAATTATCTAATATTGCGAGAATGAGCCGTGGGCGGCTACTTTGCGAGTACTTTGTTTCTGGGCTGATGATTAGTAGGTGCACCGATGTACGACGATGTAAATTAGGTATTTTACTTGAAAATCTTGAACTGTCGAACGAGTGATTTTAAATAATCGAAAAGTAATTATATCGTAGGTATTTGATCAATTTGAAATTGTTCATCGTGAATGAGGAACAGCAGCGATTTCTAGATAATTGAAGCATAAAGTTACAGATTTTCAAAGCTCAATTGAAATTTACTTGTCGAGTAGGCAAGGCGCGTGCTATAATAATTAGAAACAAGTGACGAAATGAGCTCTTATGACTGGTTTCCATGTGTAAAAATTGTTCGATAAATTATGAAAATTGTAGTTTTGCAATTGATCCAGTTCTGGGGCAAAATTCATTATGTATGTAGATATTGATTGCTATAATATTAAAAATTGTAATTTGAATATTATCTGTAAATTTGATATAAAATTATATTATATGATTTTATATACCTATATATTATATGGTATTCGATAATAAATTAATATTAGGTTTCATGTAATCGAAACTAATGGATCTATGCTGAAGAAGAAATATGATAAGAAATATAAGAATAAATATATAAATACTTCAAGAGACATCTTGTACTGCTACTCTAATATTAAAAACCTTTTCTAACCTCAAAAAATTTTCCTGCAAAAAATTTGCGTCTTTATGAAAATGGCAAATTTTCGATTAAATCTTACGTAAATTAGAAAAGTTTCCATTGCGTGTACCTTATACGCATATACATATATATATATATATGCATTTACTTCACACTTCTAAATGGTTCATTTGAAGACTTGAAGTGAAAGGAGCACTAAATACCATAAAAATGCCGGCTTGAGTTATGGATGATTAATAATACAGCGCTATGTTCCAAAAAAGTCTTATAAATTGTATTCAAGGCAGTGATTGTTATTGCATTATTGTGTCGGATAAATTGACGCTTTGTATTTCAAATTTTTTAGCTGTTGAACTAGACGATTATCTAGGGACGACATTATTGTTCTCACAGAACACGTTTAAGAGTAAATTGCTATATTGTGTTTGGTATAACACAAATATTTTTATACTCCGAATAATTTGTTAAATAAGCGTTATTATTTCTCTACAGATGTTTTTATTGGACCATATTCAATTTTTTGTAACTCTGCACTTATATCGTATCATAGGTAATTACAACAATTTAGGTTAGGTTACCTAATATTAGGTTATTCAATTTCAATTTGTCTTCTGTATCCTATGCAGTAAACTCGATTCATAATTTCTATCGCCTGAAACATAGAATGTAAAACGAAATTAAATATTCTAAAATTAATTAACCATCTAAAATAACCTCATACTTCGTATTTCGAAACTTTGAATTATTAAACCCAACGACCGCTCATAGATGTCGTTGTCGTCGCTGAACACATTTAATTATATCATATATAATGTAAATATTCCGTTACCTATAATAACCTGCAATAATCCATCGAGTAAACATTACTCCTTCGTAGAATTCTTCGTAAAGTTAATATATTCAATTTCTTCAAACTCCGGAGCAACATCGTTACATCGTAACCTCAACGACTAAGGTTAGGTTACTTAATTTTCATTTATACGATAATTTCAATTTCTTTCAATTTCGGATTCCATTCAAGAATCATTCTTAAGACCTAAAATATAGAATGAAAAATAGAATTAAATATCCGAAAAATGAACTAACCTAAAAATTGACACAATTAAATATTTATCCACCTTCTCGCCCGAACGATCTAAGTTTCACGAGTCAAGCTGTAACAAAATATCATGCCTCTAAATATGTAACGTGCTCTTTCGCAATGTAATATACGCAGTAACTGGTAACTTCTACGCGTTACATGACAGGCGTACGGTTCTCGGACGAAACAATTCTAGCAAAGTATAATCCTCGGGCGAATCCCTGCAACAAATAGTCACGTCGCGTGTACAAAATGTCGAGTACAACGGAGCGTGACTGCAAGCGTGTAAGCACATTTTTTCATCGACCCTGAACGAATTCTACTATAACAGCTTCTATTATCATGGCCATTGCTCGAGCCGCGTACGATGGATTGTGTGAAGCACGAACTTGCAAAATTATCGATGCATGAGCACATCCGATGTGACAGCAGAGGGAAAGGTTTCAAGATTTGATTTGATAAGCGAAAAATACCTTGAGACTTTCGGACGTGTGTAAACGTTTGAGCCTCCTTAACATTATACGTGAAAAACATTGAATCCTTCTTAACATTATATAACATTATATTAGATTTTAAGTATGAATGGCTAGAGAAATTAATGCCTTTTTGGGTAAATAGTAACGCGTAATAAATTTAAAAAATGTTATAAATATGTTAAATTAGTCAAAATTGAAACTAAATTTAATTAAAGTATACTACAATTTGAAATACACGTATATATAGCTTAATTTATGATTTATGGTATTGTTAATTTATTATGTGTATAATAAATATTATAATAGATAGATAAATAAATAATAAATAAATTAATAATAAAGAACTCGTAGTATTGCAATCCTACTGTTCCTATTCCTTTCTGAAACTACTTATTGCAGTTTTCTTAATTCTGTCTTATTAACAATTTTATTTAATAATAGATATTTATTTAATTGATAACAAATAATAGACAAATGTATAATTTATGTTGGATATTAGTTCTTTTATTCAGTAAGTTGTTTTTGGCGTTTATTTAATTTTGTTGAAACAAAATTTTACGCTTAAATCTGAAAGGAATTCCGTTAAGCTTTCCTGATAGCCACAGAAATAATACGATAATTGTTTTTCGCGCACGAAAGTGCATACTAAAAAGAAATTCAAAACATTGACCTCAAATTTATATATGATAATGTACTGTGAAACTTTTGCATATATTCATTACGTTAAAATTTCAAATGACATACATCTTTATAGCAAAGAGTACTTTAAAAGCTGTGCAGCAATTTATGAAGTCATAAAGCTGCACAACCTTCAACTAAAGTAATACGAGATATTGTTATAAACGTAAGTTGAATTTTAAATAAGTTTCTAAAATTAATACGCAATTTATACAAATTTGAAATTACAATAATGTATGACGAGAAAATGGAAGATTAAACTTTATTTTAAAAATGTTGGTAACATTAACTATTATATCCCTTTTTTAAATTTAAAATATCATTATCCATGTGTTATGAAAAATTTCTGAAAATTAAAGCTATATTTAGCAGTTGCAAGATTATTTGATTTTACACTTGCATTATTATTCGCATCTGAGAAATATAATTTTGTTTCAATTTTATTACGTACGAGTTCGGATTGTAGGAAAACGTAAATAAATTACAATTTTTGATTTTATAATTTACAATTCGTACTTGATGCATAAGAATTTTTATACTTCACCAAATTTACATTCTCTTAGAAATCTTGTGTTAGCCATTACGTAATCTCGAGTGGAATTAGTCGTAAAATGATGTATTACTATGAAAAGGTCATGCTTTTTTGTTTGCACGGTTTCATGAAGTTGAACTATACACGAAGTGAAATATCACGTTCATAAACTGACGATTAAATAGGAACAAAGTTTATACCGTAATAAAATTAGAAATCGTTGTTGCAATAGTAGTCCACTATACTTATTCCTTGGTTTCGTATTGCGCTTCAAATTTTATGCTTGTAACATTCAAAGCGAAATATTATAATTAGCTTTAGCGAGGAAGTTATGCTATTTCATATCTTCCAATTAAAAATTTTTTATTTTAATTTATATGTAAAAATTATACAGTTAAATTTAAAATTGAAGTATTTCAATATTTTAAGAAGAATATATTTTATTAAATAAATATAAATATATGCTTTTATTGTATTACTTTATCAATTAAAAACAAATTTTTATTTATATTTACAGATATTACGTATAAAGTTTTAAATTCAGGATTAAAGTATTTCAGTATTCCAAGAAATATACACGTTATGCAGTGAACATAGATGTTCCAATAAATGGACGGTTTATCGCATTACTTTATCAGTTATTCAATATGGCGACCATATGAAAGTATTATAGTATTCTTATAACTTTTCAAGAGTTATATTGGAGCACCATTCATCATCGATTTCGAGTAACGTTGCAAATACAAATCGGCTGCCAATAGAGGCCATTTTAAATATTTATTACCCAATAATACGTTTGCTTTTAATAGCTGTATCCTAGAAACAAAGGAGGTTAGAAACCCATATTTATTATGATATTTCGTCTATGTATTCACAAAGTATGGACTGCACGCTATTATTGAACCGTACGTTTATAACCTATATTATTTACTTAACTATAGAAACGTAGATCTGTTCGATCAAATATTTTCTTATTTAACTTAATGAAGCATGAATAATAATCGTATATCAATAGCGAAAGTAACGATTATCACGAATTGTTTCATAAATAAAATCAATTTTCGTGTTCTTTAAATCTATAGGTAAGTTCACAAATAACTTTTAGTTTACGTTACCTCTTTACTGCGTTAATCGTGAATAAAATCCAATTTTCGTAGCTTCTAATTTTATACACAAAACTTCAAACTTGAATAATTCACCACATTCTTCACTCTCACATTATATATCAAACAAAAGAAAGGGTATCAAGAAATATCACGAAAAAACTCTATTAAGAAAATCAATACATGATTGTTCAATCCGCTAGTAAAGAAGTGAACCTCGTAACCTACAATTTGTACCCTCGTTTGACAATAGAAGAAAAGTAAACAGTTCTGTAATTGTCACTATCGAAAAGCCCTATGCGTCCAAAAATCACTAAAAAATGAATATTCCCTACCGTTCCTTATTACCTTCATATGATAACACTTAGACTTCATCGAAACAAATGGTAAGTTTTCAAAAAGTAAAATACAACATTTTAAATTATATCCTTCTTTACCATTACCATTAGCATTCACAGTATTTTCATTTCTCACGATAAAATCGTTCTGCAACTAATAAGCAGCGAATAATTATCTCATCGAGGTAACTCCTCGATAGAAGATCGATTGCTGAATAATTCAATTAAAACGAAAAGGAAAACGATGCCGTTGCCTGTACGTTTACCAACGTCATAAAACGACGATAAAAGACTCGGTCGGTCCCGGAATGTACGTCGTCGAATTAACATTCGATACCCGGGACGACGAGTCGGAAACGCGCGCCAGTTATGCTATAACAATAATGCTCCGTCGGACTTCACGGGAGCCATAATATCGACGAAAACGAGATTATGCCGGCGAGTCGTAATTGCATCGAAATGCAAATTAACCCCCAGCACCGCAATAGCCGGTAATTACACCGGTCCACGATTTGAAGGTTCTGACTGGTACTTTTGTTTTTTCCATTTCTCTCCCTCTTTCTCGCTCCTTTACCCCCACCCTTCGTCCCTTCGCGTATATCGTGGCTAACGAGACACGGCGATATTCATTTCGCGAGGGATTTAAGCCGGCCAATCCCTGGCATTAACCACTGATAAATCTGTTATCGTGTTCACGTCGAGCGTTTTGCCTCTGCTTTAACCGAATTATTTTCACGTCGTGAAACGAACGCGACAGCACGTTGAGCGAAGAAAATAACATAACGATCCGGAATCGTGCTCTCTTTTTTCCTTCCCTGAGATCATGCGTAACTGTTTTAATTGAAACAAGGACAAGACTCGCGTCGCGGCTCCACTGTCGCGGGCGGCATAACGCGTCGCGTTCGTTGCATTAAAGGATAATTAAAAAGTAATCGTTTAGATAAGTGGCCAGCAAACGACGTGTTTGTTCGGTGATTCGATTTATTCATAAATCGGCATCATGGTGGTGTATAACGATGTCTTAGCAAGGTATTAATTGATTATGGTTAATCAAGGTTATGAAGTACTAATTTCATACTAATTGGGAACAATATCGTTCAGCAGCTGCTGCTGATCATTAATTCTTTCTACGGTTAATCATCTGATAATGTTCCTTATCGTCATTAGTTTTTGTGATGTATATTGATTACTATTTAATAATTAATAAATGGAGACCCAAATGTAATAATGGTAATATTATACTATAGTAGAGTGTTATTGTACAGTAATAGTAGTAGTACTATACTGCATATTTACCTAAAGTATTACAGTGCAACATTATAGTATAGTATTATAGCACAGTATTATAATTTTATACTATAGCATAATATTACAATACAGTATTATAGTACAGTATTATATTGTAGCATAGTTTTATAATATAGTATTATATCACAGTATTATAGTTTTATACTATAGCATAGTATTATAATATAGTATTATATCACAGTATTATAATTTTAATTTTACATTATAGTACAGTATTGAAATATAGTATTATAGCACAGTATTATAGTTTTATACTATAGCATAGTATTGTAATATAGTATTATAGTACAGTATTATACTGCAGAACAGTTTTATAGTATAGTATCGTAGAAAATTTTAATATTTGATGAAATTAACTAGTTTAATTAATATTTTTAGATATTGAAGGATTTAATTTTATTATGTATGTAATCTTATTTTGAAAGATGGTATTGCAAATTGAAAAGCAGTAAAATATAAGTTTTAGCATTTTGCAATTTTTCAGTTATTTAGTTGAAAGCTTTTTAAATAATTTGGATAATGTGAATTCAGTGTAATGTATACATATATGTAGTATTTAAAACACTTTTAAAGGTATTGCGCGTTTATAATAATGCAAAAATCAAATTATTTCCACTCTGACGAACGACAAGGTGAATATGCAACATGCTATTTTAAACTCAAAAACATTTTTGAGGTAACAATAAATGATGCAATTCTTTACGAGGTGTATTATCACGTAAATGTATTCAGTAATATTTAATGTCCAACTATAAACAATGCCAAGACTACGTTGTTTACTTGCAATAAAACTAATATTGGTATTTGTTATTTTCCACACAGTTCTACGTACACAGTATAGAAAAATATATTTGTAAATATTAAAATTTAAAACACTTTCCTTCCTTCTCACTGTTAAATATTAAAATTGCAAATTTGGAAGTCAAATAGTACCGTTAATAAATAGCATAAACACAAAAATAATATTTTTTAATTAAAATCTCAAAAAACCAGAAGTAATATTAATTAATTTATCATAATAATTTTTCATTTTACAGATCGCATATAATTTCATATTATCTCGTATGAGAATTATTATTACATTATACGACATAATGATATTTTGTAAAGGTAAGTTTTTAATTAAAAATTATTTGCCAGTAATAATACAAAATTGATTCTTTACTAAATTTCATAATTCATTAATCAAGAAAACGTTTTACTTGCAGAATATAACAGAGGCATTATGAGATTTACATATTCCCAACAATGATTTGTCTCATTCATTTGCAAATTAACAAGTTTCCACGAAACGATTTTTAAATAGGTAGTTAAAAGACAGTATTTGCAAACATTATTAGTGTATACTGATGTTAATCTAAATACAAATAATAGGATATACTATCGGCATGTAAATAATCACGTTTTATAAATATTTGTACAGTTGCGTATTTTGAAGTAAAATAAGCATCTGAAAATATAAGAATGCTGTCTAAACATAATAGCAAAACATTCGAGAAATTCCGTCTTTTTCTAATTATATTAAATTATTAAATTTATAATAATACCTTTTCATTAAAATTCTCATATAAAATTTGTAATATTACTCATGTATCGTGTTATTATAATTATAATACATTATTACAGCGTATTATATTACGTCATAATGATAAATTAACATAATTATTACAATGAAGGAATATTTTAATAATTAAGTTAATGTTCATATTTAAATCATTATATTAACTTTAATGAACATAAAATGAAAGTGGCGAAATTATTCTGTAAAAATTCCAAATTTTACTATTATTAAACTCTTTAAATAGGAAAGGAATCATTTATTGCACTGAATGAATTTATATAGAATATTATTCAATAATTTTATAAGTTATAGGTTATAGGTTAGAATTAAGTCTATGTACTCTTAACATGTTGCATTTAAATTCTTAATGTAAAATTTAAATCAAACAAAATACATTTTAAGTTATTTAAAAAATGTTATATGTTCACATGATTCAAATAAATAACGAATTTTTAATTGCATATTATAAAATAATGAATATGTGAAGTTAAAATATAATTGGAATTTTACGTAACAGTTATTCGAATAAAGGTTACATTCAGTTAGCATGGATCTTGATATAATTATATAATTGTTATTTCCATTAATTAATATCAATTAACAAGAGGAATTATTGATTTTGGAAGTACTTCATAAATACTTTTTACCTGCTCAACAGTATTCGTGTTATTATATTTCGTGTTACAAACTTCATGCATAGGTTAGAATTTGAAATTAAAGTTACTTTAGAGCATAAAACTTTGTCATATTACTAATATTAAACTATTATTTTTCTCATTAAAAAACTACTAATTACTTTGTTAAAATTCATAAAAGAAAAAAAGTATCAAAGTTTCATAAAAAGGAACAATATTTTATTTTAATTCAATTTAAACCGTTTTACCATATAAATAGCAAAAAGATATTGTATTTACTTTACTGTATGAAATACGGATACCTACAATTAGTGTCACGACTCAGTAATTCCATCTAACGGATAACGTCCGTGATGAATTCGGTAAACTTTCTCACAGATACTCGAAAGGTGGCAAAGTTTTAATCAGATCAGAATTTTCGACGAAACCAAATAAGGTTATACGTGATAATTAAATTTCCTTACATGCGCAGAACTGAGACTTAAGATTAAGTCACGTTATTCTTGGTTCCAGAAATCTCATTAGCTTCGTACCGCCCTATGCTGTGTCTAAACCACGATAAATATAGTGCCGCTAAATTATTAACGTTGCTTTACCGATGAAACGCCCGCCATTTTTGCTCTGCGAACGAGATAACACAGTTCGAAAAGTTACCCACGCTCGGGGCATATTTCACGTACCATTCGTGTAAGTTTCAAGGATCACGAAACCTCTCGATTATGTATCGGGGCTGTTACCTTAAGCATCCTAATTGACTTAAAGTACAGACTGCATGTAAATTGCATGTAAAAAGCGTATAAAACCAGAACGGTGCGGCGTAAAATAAGAGCTCTACACTGCCTACCGACCGAGGATCGTCCGGTTTGGGAAACATAACGACGAATTACCCTCGGTGTTGCTTAACTACGCGCCGCTCACGCTGTCGTGGCGCTCGTAACGAGTTTATAAAGTAACCAGATTTCTCGGTCCAAATGTGCTGCAAATGGAAGGCTGAGTAGCGCCGACAGTTTCGTTACAAGTCACACGTGCGAAATATTTTCGCGTTCGGTGATTGAATAATGAGTTATCAGATTATTTCTACAACAGTTGTTTCTTGATTAAGATTTTCTAAAGTTCTGTAACGTTCGAAAGGACGATGTGCATTTGTAAAAATATTCTAACCCCATTGTTCGTACGAAATTGTATTTGTGGTTATGTTGACAGTGTCGGAATATTGTATTTTGAAAGAAATGATTAACTATTTAATTGCTGCCAGGAAAAAGATGTCTGTTGGTCAGAAACATGCTGTGGTAGTTTTTTAAAAATATTATTAGAAAGGTGTTTCGTTTAAAATCGTTAAAGAAGCGCGTTTTAATGACGGGTAAAGAAAGCGAATAAAACTGTAAGTTAACGTATCAAATAATTATTATACTAACAGTTTTCACAGAAATTCTAGATTTTATAACGTACCAGTAAGTTGGAAGTAGGGATACTTCCTTGAGAGTATTATAGTCATTTCATGAAATGGCGTTTCTTCATTTCATTTACGATGCTGTTGCCAAGAAAAACATAATGCTATTAGTACGATGTGTTATTAAAGAATAATTGTATAATAAGAACAGCGAAGAAAATATTGCTTTAATAAATGTAATACAACAATCTTCTTTCAATTTTTCATATTTTGTTCTATCACTTGTCGTTACATTAGTACATTATATATAATAATTATTTATGTTATAAAGTATTTAATTCTTATGTAAATATTAAAATTCAATGTTGAAATTAAAATTAAATGTACAGAAATTGTTTTATCGGATTCAATCAATTATTTTACTAATATTTATTACCTTACATCTTGTTAATTATCAGTATATATTATAATCAGTACTAGGTAGGATATGGAATATATTTAAATTTGTATATTACGTACATAAGAGTTACGCATAACTAATAAAGGTATAACGCATTTTATATAACCATTTGTATTAATTAAAATATAACAATATATTAAAATATATATCGATTTTAAAAATCCTGTGCAATTAAAGTGTATTATTATTTTTATATGAGAACAAGTATTCATTAGAAACAATCATTAAAATTTTAAAATATACATTTTAAAATACACACACAATAAACGCGATTAATTTTTCTATTAACACTTTGCTAAGGAATCATCATTTCTTTTTAATTATTTACAAGAATAAAGATTTAAAATTTCGAGTGATCTAATAATAGATTAAGAAAGTATATTTTATCTTTTAAATGTTGTAACAGTCTCTAGCATTGAAATAAAAATTTAATGTACAGTTTCAAGAGCTATTTATTTCTTTTTTCCTTGCTCTTACTGATACCTTTTAATACGTGTTGAAAAAGCTAATTTCGTTTAATGAATATCTACAACACAGCATCTTCTGAGCAAAGCAGCAAAAAGTAAACAGTAAAAAGACATTAATAACCATTTACTTTAAAGATTCGTATATCTTATACATTCTAAGATGTTCGTAAAATTCAGTATCTAAACTCGATTTCCACTGTAATCGAACTTCTAAGCAGAAAAATCTCATTATAAATTCTTTTTATCACAAACCAAACACAGTCTTATATCGCGATATATTCCAAGATACTATGTTCGACTAATTATAACTAGTAACAGCTGCAAGACAACCTCGCGGCGAACGCATCGACGTTCTTTCATTTCTAGCGCAACGATAATTTATGCAATTGAGCACACCATGACTTGAAACACACAGGCGGTCGACTTTTCCGAGCCGGACAACTCTGAAGTCCCCACTCTTTTTTCTATTTCGAACAAGTATGTCGTTTTGAAGTAATGAATTCTTGATCGACTGTTCGCCAGAGTTCAGTTCGTTTTTACGCTTGATATCGAAGACTCCCTGTCGAGAGATGCGTTCACGAGTAGTCGTAATCGTAGCGATATTCGATACGTGACCATCTCCCATGCCTCTTTGGTAGTCTTGTACGTGTCTCAATAAATCATCGACCAATCGATGCTCATATTTGATCGACTTAAGAGCGTCTGCTTTTTCCAAATGAATATCTAGAGTGCGGAAATGAAAAAGTAGTTAGGACGAGTCGAGGTTACCTTCGTATGATTTATCTATAACATTTGAGGTTATTCGATACCGCAATTATATCACAGAATTTATTCCATAATTTACCTTCTTGTCAGATTTCAATACGTGACGTCAATAATAGAATTCATTTCACAGAATAACGATGGAAAACGTGTGTATACACGCGACTACTTAAAACTTTGTTCGACAGCAATTAACCAAGTCATGATTGAAGTTCGACCAGTTCAAACTGAAAATTATCGTGTGATATTATTGATATTTAGGATATATCAAGTTAATATGCTTAAAAAAGTGGTTACGAGAATACCTTACTTCGAGTGCAACGAAATTCTCGCAGAATGCGAGATGAGGTTATGATCCGAAACTTCGAGCGCGAGTGTACGTATTATGCGCATGCGTGCGAATAATACGATGAAATACTTGCGAACAATACGAAAGTATTAAATCTTATAGCGTTTATACGTATAATCGTTCATTTTACAACGATGCGCTCATGCTTTTCCAAAGTGCATACATATTTATAGAGGAAGTAAACTGCAGGATCAGCGGTCGTAACTCAATTATTCAACGAGCACGCCTTAAATTAAAAATACACGTAATTATACTTAAGCTGTCGTAGCTACTGTTAGTTAGAACCTATAACTCCATTTAACACCTCGTATTAATCCCCAGATTTATCAATAGATTCGAGATATATAGCGGCCGAAAAATCGATTCTAAACGAATAATCGCGTTACTTAAAATGACTGTGGTCTTTCACTTTTTTCCAGCTGTCATTATTCTTTCGGTAAGTAGAATAGAAAAATAACGAGTACAATTTAATTGTCACTGACGTGTTTTATGAGAATACATTTTATGGAATACATGGCATTATTCGATTCGATGTATTTGCAAATGTATTAACACCATAAAATTCTTCCATTTTATAAAGAATTTTGTACAGGTTAATAATTTATTTATTTTATTATTTTATT